ATGGCTACCAATAGCCGTAGTGCTAACCTTAGATCCATTACCAACAGTGATATATACTGGTGAATATAAAGATTGAGAATAACATGAGAAATAGTACATGGGTCAGAGGCAATGTGATGGGATGCACCGATATCCATATACCAAGAGGGTTCACGGAGGGATAGGGTGTCAAAGTGGTGTGCAAGGGCTGTGGGGGTGGGGCTTTGGGCTGTCGGGTGGGGCTATGGGGGTTGGTACTGCCCTACGGCAGGGGTGGAGGGGTACATGTATAGGGGTGGGGCAAAGGAGGGTGCTGTCGGGTAAGGGTTTGGGGTGTGGGGCTGGACGGAGGAGGGGGCTAGGGTGTAGTAGGCGTGGGCGAGGTGGGGGTGGTTGGCTAGGAGGCCCGGGTTAGGGTTAGGGTTTGGTGAGTTCCAGGTATTGTTGCCGTCGTAGGATTGCCGCGGTCGTGAGCCGTTTTGACGTCCGCGACCTCGCCCCCGATTTCCACCGCCACGGCCTTGGCCTCGTCCGTAGCCTCCACGTTGACCGGAATTGCCGTCACCATAGCCCGTGCCGCCATGGTGTCTGCCATAGCCGCCGGGAGTACCGCCGTGGTAGCCGCCACCGGCACGGTTCGTGAGAAGAGCCGTGGTGCCCGAGTCGGTGGGACTCGTCCGTTGTCGATCCAGAAGCATGAGTGTAGAACGGACTTGCAAAAAAGTGGGCATGGGATCCTGAAATTGCATGAAAGATGTTTGTGCCTGAAGATCTGCAGGAAGACCACGAAGCATTTGGAGAACAAGTTGGTGCTGGGAGACGGGTGCATCGACATCGTCCAGCCAGTCGGTCAGATTCTGTAATTGTTGGCAATAAGCCGCCATGGTGGAGTTTCCTTTGATGGTCGTGCGAAATTCATGCTCCAATTGCATGGCCCTGGCATGTTCGTTGTCGTGGAATAAGTCGTGAACGACTTTCCAGAGAGCAGAGGCAGTAGAAACAAAGGAGATTACCAGATCTGAGACCTCATCGGTGATGGTAGAGAGAATCCAACCCTGGAGGAGAGCGTCGAGTTGGAACCATTCATCATCGTCATCGGAGAGGGGGACGACGGAGCCAGCGAGGAAACCCTGGAGGTTGAAGCGCCGAACAAGAAGGAGAAAAAGTCGGCTCCACTTTTTGTAGTTGGGTTGAGAGAGACTGAGTTGAACAGGAACATGGAGTTTCACATTAGGTACTGTTGTGAAAGCAAGATGAGGAGGCTTGGGGGAGGTATTTTGAGAGGTGACTTCACTGGCTTCGGTCATGATTGTGAGAGAGGGGAGGGATGACTGCCGGCGAGAGGAAGAGACGGCGGCAGGAGGGGCTGCCGCTGGTGGGGCGGCGGCTCGGGCCGAGAGAGGGAGAGAGGAGGGGAGAGAATTAGGGTTTTGGTATTTTAGGCTCCAATACTATGTAGAAAGATTAATTTCCTTGATTGAATATGTGGGAGTACATGTATTTATATATACATGGTATTCCTATTCCTATACAAGGTAGGAGATAATAATAGGAAACAATATATTTACATTAAATATAGAATATATTTAACAAACACATTAATTTTAGTCATACTATGGAGTTTAATTTGGAGGTAGTCTCTTTTTTTTGAAGGCGGAGGTAGTCTCTTTATTTATTAAACATATCATCAAATTTTAATCATGTTCTTTACCTCTTTTACTATCCATTTGAGAAAATAATATAGACGTGTCATCTTTTGTTTTTTGGTGTAGTTTTTAAAAATATATTATGGAGTAATTTTATGCATTTTTTAAATATATAAATTTTACGAAGTATTTTTTAATTTCATACTAACATTCAACTAAATTGAGGTTAAAATAATTTTAGTCAAACTTTGTAAATAATACGGGGTAATAGACGATTTAACAACGACTGAGAGAATACTAAATAATGTATTTAAAAAAAAATGGTCAACCCTATGAAGCCATGGTTTAGTTTTTGTTTCTATGCTCATATTGTATTCTTTACATTTGGAGACTATGTCCATGCTCATGTTGTATTGTTCACATTTGGAGAATTCTCTAGATAAAAAAACACCAAAACAAGAACTTAAGTCTTTAAGATAGAAATAAGTGTTCATGCAATCGATTATGTTACACAGTCTTATTCATCACATTGTCACACTCTCATTATCTTCGCTACCGGGAACTCAGAATGCCGTTGCAGATCGCCGACGATTGACTGATCACATTTTCATATTACACTATCATCATTTTAGTTTTTATCACACTTTCGACGCATACTCGTACATAACACTACCATTATACTTCTAGTTTGATTTCAAAAGATCGACTTAGACCTTGAAATTTTCATACTTTTATACTTCTATCTATGGAGATTTCTATTTACATTTATAAATGCTTACATAGTGATGGTGTGCTTAATTCCAACAAATTTGTTTAAGACATTTTCTTGCGTCATTTACTTCTTAACTCTTCACAAAGTGTAATCTCTCTCTTAAACTTTTAAAAAATGTAACATTATTCCATATACTTTTACTAAAATACATTATTTAGCCGGAACTCTTTAAAAAATGCATGTTTTCCCCTAAAATTTTAAAGTGCACCATTATTAATCTTATAGGGAGTATTTTTTTTAAATGGTGCAAGGTTGAATTCTTAAAAATTTAAAAATTTCTTTTGGCTTAACGTTAAGTAACCAAACTGCAATAAAAAGAAAAAATAATAGGACTAACAATACACTTCTGAAAGTTCGAAGGGAAAACAAGCAATTTATGAAAAAATAAGGACTTAAGGTATCCCCAATGCAAGCAGCCTTAATTGAGACTTTTTCAAATTCTGCTACGTCAACTTTTTATTTTTTAATATTCTTCTTAAGACTTTCAAAAAAAATTACCCCAATATTCAAACTTTTTCGGACTGTGCCACTTTTTTTTAGATTCTTCTTAGTATTTTACCGTATTTTTTTAGATTCTTCCCTCTTAGTATTCCACTGTTTTTTATTCCATTAAATTTAAGTATATTAAATCAATTATCAAATATATAATTTTACTAAACATAGAATTTTCTACCAAATGAGAACATTTCACTAAAATCACATAAGTAAACACACATAAAAAGGATATTCCATAAAATAAAAATAAAAGCACAACAAATGGTTTAGGTTTTTTTACATTTTAATTTTTTTAAGTTATTAATATTTTTTGTTTTTTTTTAACTTTTTTGGTTTTTACAAAATTTGAAGAAAATTTTATTCTTAGAAAATAATTGTTATGAATTACATGTGTAGTTCTCATTGGATAAATTGATTTTGGAGTCTTAGAAGTGAGTGTGAGATTTCAAAAATTACTTTAAGACGTTCCCAACTTTTTATCTGCCTCAAGGGTGAAGTCTTGATAAGGGAGTCTTAAGGGTCCGTTTCGTTCAACTTATTTATTTTTGATCTGATATGGTTTTTTGTAGTTTGATCTAATCTGATATGACTGGATCTGATCTAATCTGATCGGATCTGCTTTGATCTGATCTGATCTGATTGGATCTAATCTGATTTGGTCTGATCTAATCTGATCTAATTAATTATGATTTGATTTAAAATTCAAATCAATAATTTGATCTGACTTTATATTAACTTTTGAAAATTGTAACAATAATTCATATTATAATATAATCAATATTTTTTATTTTATGATTATTCTTTAATGAAATAAAATTAGTTAATTCATATATTAGAATAATCATTCATATTATAATGTAATAATATTTTTCATTTTATGATTATTTTTTTATGAAATAAGAATATTTATTTAATATTTTAATAATTAGTTTATATATACATTAGAATAAATATTTAATTCATATATACATTAAAAAGTAATTAATTTTAGATAATCAATATAGAGAAGAGATAGTATTTTTATTAAAATATCTCATCCTTATAAAATGTGAGCGTGTGCTTTGTACTATAAAACTTTTTTTATGATTAATATAACACCATAGATATAATATTTATTTCAGTTACACTAAAATATACTCCGTATATGAATATCAAATGTTAACTTTTTTAAAGTCATGATCAAAGCTGATCAACTCGATATAGTAAAAGATCAAAACTTTAGAAACTCAAATTATAGGTAGAAATAAAATTGTATTTTAAAAGTAGAATTAGATTGACATTGTCAATGTATTTTAAAAATAATTTCCGTGACGTCTAATAATTATGGATTACTTTCTCAGTTTTCTATTTAACTTATTTCTAAAGTTTATTCTTTTTCATTGTTTAATAATAATAATAATAATAATAATTCTTAATTGGATTTGATCTGATCTAATTGGATTGGATATGATCTGATCTGATTGAATCTGATGTGATCTGATCTAATGATAGGGGTGGGCCAAAAAACTGAACCAACATTACCATACCAGACCGTAATGGTACCGAACCGTTTATAGTGTTTTTTTAAACGAGATGGATTTTTTTCATCACGAACCGAAACCGAACCGATAACAAACGGGATGAGACCGTGATACAAATATTTAAAACTGATTATCACGGTTCGAACTGTTCAAAGCTATATAAGGAGTATCTCAAATAATAATTTGTCTACTTTATCTTACCGTATATTGAGTACTTTGTATGATATTATTTATTTTTAAAATTCTTTCATTAATATTGTTGAAATTATATTTATTACTATTATTATCATTATTTTTTTAGAGTGATTAATAGTCTGATATTGTATGAATTGAAAAAAAGCTATTTTAAAAAATTAAACTCGTCATCTTTTATTTTTTATGTTTATGATCCTTTTAAATTCGAAATCAATATTTCTATTTAACAAAGTTGTGCTTTTGTATACAAAATTATGCTTTTATTTTAATATTTTTTTAGTGATGCATGTTCTTTTTTTTGGCATGGTTTGAACATGGTTATGGTATTGTACCGTTCCATTTCGAAACGGAATGGTACCGAATGGTTTTGGGTTCATACCGTATCGATACCAAACCATTTAAATAAGAGCGGTCTGTGATAGGTTCCGGTGATATTACGGACCGTCACAAACCGCGCCCACCCCTATCTGATGAGGTCTGATCTTGTCTGATCTTATCTGAGTTTAATAAGAATAAGAAAAAATTAGAAAAATAAGTTGAACGGAACGGGGCCTAAGACTCTCTTTAGGCTTGCTCAAAACTCTCATTGAAGATGCCTTAATGGTGTATTTTTCAAAGTTTTGAAGGAAAATATGTACTTTTGAAAGTGTTTGGAGGCAAAACACGCACTTTATGAAAAAGCATAGAGACTAACGGTGTATCTTTAGAAGTTCGGGGGAAAATATGCACTTTATGAAGAGTTCACGAGTAAATGACGTAAAAAAGTCATTTGTGTAAGGGACTGTTTGAAATTAAACACACTACACATACAAATATCTACGAGAAAAAAACGAGAGAACGGAACACAAACGACACACAAGAACTTAACGTGGTTCGGTTTCCCTAATTCACAGCTGCAACATGAGGATTTTATTCACTTGTCGTGTCTACCGAATTACAAGCACAAAATGCATATATATAAGAAGACACCTTGGGCTACGAAACTTGTTCCCCAAGAAACAAGAAATAAACGGGCTAAAAAATAAACCAGGCCAATCCTAGCTGGACCCAAACATATCTAGGAGTAAAACATTGAAAATATGGTTTTTCAATCCTAGCTTTATCAATATTTTACCAAAATAAGAATTCCATGTTTTTATTCTTGATATAAGAGTTAAAATGCATATATAGTACGAATCATGACCATATACATTATGAAAAAATATTGTCAAATATCTATATACGATGTCACATTACCACAATGCAAACCTTATTTTGGGGATAAAAGGATGGAGTTCATATTTTGGTATTTTTTCTATGTTTTACTACTATTTATAATTATTTCTTTTTTTAAAATCTTTTTACACTTTGCATAGATACAAATTTACAATAACAAACATGAAAGCAAATGTCGGGAATAAGTACAACACTTTGAATATTAATATCTCTATTTATGAATAGAGATTAAAAAGATATGATATTTTAAAGAAAGTTGATAATCTTAAACCAATTGAATCAGTGTAAGATTGTTAGACCAATTCAATTGGGGCACCTACGGTGCTCAGGTCGTAAAATTAATTATTCTTACTCTCCTAACCCCCAGTAAACACCCCAAACCCAACCCATCCCTTACGCACCCTTGCACGCTTCCCATTGCATCATCCAAATTTTGAGTAAAACATTGACCATAAAGTCAACAAAATATGAATAAATTGACCATTTTATTTTCAGAAAATAATTGTTACGAATTACTCGTGTCTACTTTTCATTGGACAAATTGAGTTGAAAATCTTAGAAGTGAGTCTAGGATGTTAAAGAATCACTTTAAGACTTTCTCCATTTTTTATCTACATTATATTTTGGCCATTAATATTTCTATCTATAATTAAACAAATATTTAGAAAAAATATGATATTTTAAAACTACTTTTCAAAATTAATCTATTCATAATAAATTTATATCACAATTCAATTTATGTTTTACTTAATTTGGACCTTGAGATTTTTGCCTATCCCCGAAAACATCATCCATGAAATGAGAATCAAATGGTCTGTTCTCTTCAACTCTGAGGAATACCACAGGCGGGTAGAACGAGAACGCCAGCAAATGCAGCAGCCAAATGCACTTAGCAGACATGAAGAAGGCTTGGAGAAGCCGCTCGGGCCATTGCTTGTTCCACTTAAGGACAGTGATTATGGAACTCATTTTCTGATCACAAAACCTGCTGAGCTCTTCACTGTAATACTTTGTCCCCCTTTTTAGCACTTCATTCCAACTAAGGCTCCTTAATGCCGCAAACGATGAGAATTGCGAGTGTCGTTCTTGTTCTGGACTCAAATGCTTTGGGGCTCCGTTCTTCTGAAACGAGCAATTCTCGAAATCCTCGAATACTTCGAATGGAGGGTCAGTCTGTACGGTTGGAGCAGAAGGTTCAAGTTATCCGTTAAGGAATCATTGTCGTTATTAGTCTCGACAGTAGTTGTGTGGGAAATAAGAGTTTCACAGAATTGCTTAACCGATTGTCTAGCCTCCGACACGACTTGCAAGAAGCCCTCCAACATTACTTCCTCGCTCACTTGCATTGAGTTTCCTCCTTCCACAATTCTTGGAAGACTCTTGTTAATTAGCTTCACTGGCGAGTCCTCCTTTGATGATTGAATTGCTACCCTCAACGCCTGCTTAAGCTCTCCACAGTATCTCTCCAAGTACTCCAATTTTCCCCTGATTTCCTCGATAGAAGATTTCGTTTCTGCAACTTCCATCAGTGCTGCGTCTCTGTCCTCATTCGCTGCCATCACCTCCTTCTTCAATGCTTCTATGGATGCCGACCCTATATCCCCTGATTCCGACGTCGCCCTTAGCGGTGAAAATTCGTTCTTGATTTTCTTCCTCAGCCAAGAGAAAATCAACCCTTTGTTCTTTGGTTGCTGTGGTTGAGCAGAAGAGTCTGATGGTGGCACAACAACGTTACAAGGATTCTTTCCAATCTTGCTGAATTCGGCGACTCCGTGGACTACACTCTGGTCAGCAAAACTGTTGGGTGATTCTGTGTTGACAGAAGTAGCAACAAATGCATTTCTTAAAGAAGATTTTGGTTTTTGGTAGTAATAATAATAATCTGATTTAACCGATATGTTTCCACTTTCGGCTCCTTTTCCTCCTCCAACGCTATATTCGTCGCAAGTTTCAGCGTAGTTTACGTTGTTTTCTAGCTGTAGATGTTTGTAGCCTGGCAATGGCCCCTCCTCATCATAACTCTGTCAAATTATACTCCCAAATGGTGAATCATTATTGCCTCAACAAATTAAACAAACATGGAAGGAATCAAGGAAATATAATTGTAAGTCTATTCACTACCGATGAAGCAATTAAAAAGAAATATATAATAAGGGTATGTATGCCTTTTAGACTTTAAAGTGTGACTTCAACGACTAAGTTGTATATGCTCACAAAATGTTGGGAGCACCCAACGTAAACACCATGATAAAATCATGTTATTTTATCAAATAATCCTTGAAAAGAGAATATTTAAAAAAAGCATGGATAATAGTAAAAATGATCGAATCTTTTTGAGATGAAGGAAATAGTGTATCTATGTCAATATGTCATGCACCATGTCTGCATATGTTTCATTTTGACAAAAAACAAAAATCTACCGTTCTAAAATACCGGAGTAATTGTTAGCATTATTTTAGACCAAAATAATGTGAATATTACTATGAATTTACAACTTTATTTTATGGAGTATATAATCTTTGGCATTTTAGAGTTTTGAAAAGTTATTCTTTACTACTCCCCTATTTACCAAAACTTTTCCTCTTTTGCTTTTTTTTCTTTTAACAAAAACTTCTACTTTCTATTAAAAACTTACTTTTATCCCTACTACTCCGTAACTCTTACCAAATTTATCACATTATATTTTTTCACTAATAATGTACTATCACATCATATTTTTACCCAGTGGCGGATCCAGAAGTTCAGTTAGATGGGGGCACCATTGGTCAGGGGTCCAAAGCAGCGTTTCTGAATTATTTACAGGCTATTTGAAATGACAAAAAATAAATAAATGATGAATTTTGCTTCAAACATTTATTAAATGTAAACCATTTTTAAACGCAATGTAAAATTTTATTTTATACACAAATAATTATATGCAATAAAATACACTTTACTAAAAAATTAATCAAAACAAATAAATTTGATATGATTAGATGGGGGAACATTAATTTTTGTTGGGGACATCTAACACGTGTACATAAAAATTAATCAAAAAAATCACATGTAATTTGTCAGTTCGCTGTACGAACGCATTTTCACGAACGTATGTGTCTAATCATGGCTTTTCATTTCTATAAATAAAGAGACGTACGTAGGTGAGTTGATATACAAATGGGAAATGCTTTTTCTTTATTAACGTTTTGTCCAATTAAGTATTTTGGTATACCCTGAAATACTTTTGATCTGAAATGATTTACCCGATTCTTGAAAGTATCAAGTCATAACTCATCCGTTTCTTTGTTCATTTTTTTGTCAATGCTGCTTCGAAGAGTTCTTCCTTAAAACAAATTTATAACATGGAGAACAAGCCCTATATAAAATGATGGTATCGCGTCGTTTGTCATATGGATTAAGTAAGATTATGATATACACAACTTTATGATAAAGGTTGATATAACGAACAATAAAAAGATTAAAATGTGGTGATAAAGTATTAACCGTATTAAACAAGTCTCATTTGTACTAAATAAGACTAAAACATAATTAATTTCCCAATGTAAGACTTACACTTTTTTATTTCCTAAATAAGACTTAATAATGACTAGTGAGAAAAATAATGTCCAAGTGATGCTGGACATTTAGTTGAATAATGACTAATAGATAATGACCAATTGTCCTACATTGGAAAATAAAAACATATTGTCTTATATTGAGAAAGTCATTATGTTTTAATCTTATTTAAGTAAATTACTCATTAAACAAAGCTATAGACTTTTCATCTCATTCACAAGACAAAATCCTAATGGGTCAACCAAACATGATTGCAAAAGTCACTTTTTGTGATAGATAGTCCTTTGATACTTAACCAAATCTTTGAAAATTTACAAACAATTTTCAAAAGAATGTGTATTATTAAGATACTCTGCATTCGAGTAATAGAGTTGCCGGTAGAGGCACTAAGAGGTGTTTGGCATTGCGCTGCTTTTAATAATTTAGCTTCTGCTTTGAGTAGAAGTGATTTTATTCTGTTTGGCATGTCAGCTTTTGCTTTTCACCACTACTATTTTATACACAGAACACCGTTTTGGAGAAGCAGGTATGAGATGCTTTTGCTTTGAGCTTTTGTGGAAATCACTTTATCCATAAGTTAATCACTCCCAAACAAGCTCTAAGAAGCAGACAATATTATGCTGTTGCATTCATTGAACTTCATTTCTAATGTAAGTATCTAACAATGGAAATTATGTTAATACATAAATGTCTACATAATTGACCAAAATATCTTAATTTTTAAACAAAGTAAAAGTTAAGCACCTTGGGGTTCCCTAAACATAGAGTTTCAATTTCATGGAATAATAGCGGACAGCATAACTGCGGTAACTCTTTCATAAAATTGATGATTTCTAATCCGTTAAAATATTGGAATATTAATATTGCTCATTGAATTATGGAGTACATGATAGAGTATATATAGGAGAGACTCCTAACACAACTAGGAATAGAGAATGGAAACTAACTAACATACAACATTTACCACAAATAGGATTAGAAAGCTGACTAATAATGAAACACTACCATAACCAATACTACAAGAAATACTATTAATATTATTTTCTAACATCCCCCCTCAAGCTGAACTCTGGCTGAAGCAAGAGGAAGTTTGGACACTAGCTGGAAATAGGAAACTTTGAGAAGAGAGAAGTCTGACATGTGCCAGTGGCTGCTCACATCGTTGGAGAAGAGAGAAATTGACGTGCGCTAGTAGCTGCTGATGTCGATGAAGATGAGAGAAGGTTGACGTGTGCTTGTAGCTGCTGACGTCGAAAAAGAATAGAGAAAGCTACTTGAGGTGCCTGTTTGACTGAAGATCCTTGGCATTTTTTGTCTTTTTCTTGGATCCGGGCAATGCCCCATTTCCTTCTTGAAGGGGTGAGTTGTAGAGGTCTTATTTCCTCTTTCACTACTTCCCCTCTTGGCTTTGCTTTTGTGCTGATTTACTTTGGATTTTTTAATGATTCAACAGAAGAGAAAGAGAAGGGAGGTTGATGATTGGAATGAGTGATTTTAGAGAGAAAAAGTAGGTTAAGAATTGGTGATGGGAAAAAAATTTGGGTTTGAGATTTTGATGTGGTGAATTGAAGAGAAACAACAATCATTTTTTTCATTTTTTTTAGATCTGAGAGAGATTGTGAGGAGTCGATTTTTTTTGAAGAACCATGGAGATGACAACAGAAAAGTTCCTCCTTTGATTGTTTTTTTTGTGTGTGATTTCAACAGAGGAATTTTTTTTCTTTTTTTTTAATGGAGAAGTTAATTTGAGAATAAAAGAAGGGAAACAAAAAGATGTGAATAAGGTGGAGCCGCCGTCGCCGGAATTACCGGCGGCGGCGGTGGGAGCAAAGAACTCTTTTAGGTCACCAAGAGCGGTGGCTCCGATACCATGTTGAAATATTGGAATATTAATATTGCTCATTGAATTATGGAGTACATGATAGAGTATATATAGGAGAGACTCCTAACACAACTAGGAATAGAGAATGGAAACTAACTAACATACAACATCTACCACAAATAGGATTATAAAACTGACTAATAATGAAACACTACCATAACCAATACTACAAGAAATACTATTAATATTATTGTCTAACATAATCATTTTTATTTTCAGCCCCCACCCTAGCATCCATATATTCCTTCAACACTGATTTGTTATACTCCCTCCGTTCCACAAAACCTTTCCGGTTTTGACTTTGGGAAAAAAAAAGGAAAGTGTAATTTTTGTTGACTTTCCAATTTTGCCCCTGATGTGATGGAAAAAGTAAGATGTGATAGTTTGGTTATTAGTGAAAAAGTATAAAGTGATAAGTAGGGTATGAAAAAGTAGAAGTAAAAGTGGTTTTTAATAGAAAGTGGAAGTGTTTTGTGGAAAGCAAAAAAAACGAAAGAGGAAAAATTTTGTGGAACGAGGGAGTATTAATAATGTACAAATAGGCATAGAAAGGTTGTGGGGGGAGGCTAGGGGCGAAGGAGTGTTAGGGTGGGGACAAGGTGGGCAGAGTGGGTTTTGAGGGGAGAGGGGTTGGGAGTAAAAATTACCCCATCTATTTCATAAAACTGTTCTTATTTTAACTTTTGTGAGAAATAAAGAGTGTCTATTTGTAATTGATTTTTTAATTTTACCCTTGATTTGATGCGCAAATACAAGATGATGTGATGTGTAGATTTTTAATGAAAATGTATGATGTTATAGGTAAGGTAAGATAATGTAGTGGTAAAAGTACTTTTTAGTAGAAAGTGAATGCGTTTTGGGAAAAGCAAAAAAACTAAAGAGAAAGTGTTTTAAGAAACGAAGAGAGTATCAATTTTACAAATCGAGTAACCGTAGTTGTCCAATGTCGTCCCATTATATTGAAACCCTCAATGTTATAGGAATCGACCTCAAAACTAAGTATGTGGCTTTTGTTTGGAATAGTAAAAAACTTGAACGAGAGNTTCTCCTATTATGACAACAATGGAAATTTATCAACCCGAGGTCTGCCACGGCCCCAAAATACTTCATTGAAGTTGGTAGAAGAGGTAAATCGCGGGTAACACGTGACTCAACTAGCTATCGACAACATGACTTGTCACGGCCAATCTAACCGTACAAGGGGCTGGATCGTCTAAAAAGACGCTTCCAGAATTTGAACCCATAGGTCGCAACAAGGCTCACATGATGCCTTGCCCATCTGAGTTGGGCCTCAGAGGTTTTTGCGTTTCATAATTGATCACTGTCTTTTAAATTTGTTCTATTTATAAATTGATATGGAAATTAAAAATATAACTTAAATATTTAAAGCTAAGAAAAAGGTTTCATAAAAAGTGACCCGTTTATTTATCAAATAATAATGATAGAAAGAAAACATACAAATAAATAAAAATTATTGGAAATAGTAACATGGTAATGTGTTTTGGAATGAAGGGTGGTGTATATTCCACATATAAGAGAATATGATCGAGATAAGATGATATGTATAGGTATAGCAATTGAATTACTCATTCTGAATTACGAGATTGTATGGAAAATAAATTTTATCTAATTTATTTTATTATAAGTATAAAAATCAAAAGTAAAATGAGTATACTCCGTCATACATTAAAAATTTTACAAAATAAAAAAATATCTGTTTATTTTAAAATTTGCAGTAAATAGAACTAAAACGTAAGTCATTTCTAAATATAGAACTTAAACTTTTTTATTTCTTAAATAGTACGGAGTACTTAGTAATGTCTAGTGTAAAATAAGTATCCGGTGAATTAAAATAGCATTAAACAAGTACACACCCAGAATAAAATTTGTAGAAATCACCCTAAATATGACTACAAGATAGAAAAAAAATACCAAAATAGGAGTTTGATATTTTTATTCTCGAAATAAGAGTTCACACTGTGGTAATGTGGTTGTAATGTGGCACTGTACATGTGCACATTACTATACTTTTTGGTAATGTACATAAGCATGTTTGGTAATGTAAATGCATTTTAACTCATATTTTGAGAATAAAAACATGGAAATCATATTTTGATATATATTTTCAATGTTTTACTTCTACTTTAGTCTATCTTCCTAAAATTTGAAGGTGTGAATAAGGAAAGATTATTTGATTTCAGGAGGGACGGATGGAGTAGCTTCAGCTCGATCTCATCCTTCAACGAATCATTTTTTTTTGAAATGGGAGAAGGCAGCTGAAGGAAAGGAAATGACGGATGGGACTTACATGAGTGAAAATCGGGTAATCCTGTGTGGAGAAGTGAGGGATATGATGAGGTGATGAAGCGGTAGAGAATCTGAGACTTGCTGGGCTGCCATCGCCCTGCACCAGAGCGGCATGGAGGGCCCTCAGCTCCGCCGCTTTGGCAATGGCGTCTTGAATCTCTTCCCTTCTCAATTTACTGCTTCCGTTTCCTACACAGCTTTCCATTGTTGCAGCCATGGAACAAACAAACAAACACAGTACACTTATTTGCTTGCGCGCAAAAAGATCAGACTAGTATAGGATGATGGGTGAATTGTGGCCGGGATTTGTTAATTTTATGCAGAGGAAACGATCATATCCATACCATATATGATTGTGGAAGGACCAGAAAAAGAGAGAGAGAGAGGGTGTGGGGTGTAATGGAATTTTGAAGGGCGGAAATCCAAAATGGGGATTTGTCTTTACATTTAAAGGTCTCTGTAGGATGAGTGCATGTAAAGAAAAAAAGAGATGTATGATGTGTTGTTGGGTTCGGTTGTTTATAGTTGTTTTCTTTGTCCGTAGCCAACTCAATGAACGCAGGAATATTTTCACATTCTAAATTAATCCCTTTGCCCCATCCAAAAAATTGATATTACCAAAAGATTCCCACAAAACATTTTTTATTTTTCACTTTTAAGAAATTTAAAGAAGAGATATTTTTTCGTTGACTTAACCAAATTGCTCTTTAATGTGATGTGTAGATAAATAGTAAATAAATATAATGAGAAATGTGAGGTCAGAATTAGTCAAAATAAAAATGATTCTTTTAATGGAAAGTCTACTTTTAAGAATATAAGATGTCAGTCAATATTTTATGGAACAGAAAGAGTAGAAATGAAAATATGTGGTTAGAATTTATTTGGAAAACAAAATTTTCACCATTCATTCTTTGGCTAAAATCCACCGTTGGTCCTTCAACTTTATCAGTTGTGCACGATTGGTCCTTCAAGTTTCAAAAGTCCAAAAATAGTTCTTCAACTTTAGTGTCACAGATAAGTATTTTAAGACAATTGTTGAGGACCCGTTTTGTGGCTCAAAACAAAGTAAAAGTTATAAAATAATCCTTAGCTAACCCCAAAGAGATATAATCAATTAAAAACTATCGCTAGGCAAGTAAGGGTTCATCTCACAGAAAAAATTTGTACTTTTTAAAACCAATTTAGCACGCACAATATTGTCACAAAATAAAAATAAAAGAAAATTAACAAAAATACATATGATAAGAACTTATAAAATTTATAATAGAACTTATAACTAAATAAACATAGAACTTATATATAACTAATATAAACAAAAAATCTATAATATAACTTACACACAGCACATACTAAATATATAAGTAGATAAAGTATAAAAACTTATATTTAAAATAACTTATAAACAAACACTTATAATATGAACTTGGTAGATAAAAACTTATACAATAACCTAGACAAAACACAAAGGGGGGGGGGATAAAAAATATATTTTTTAGTGTTTTTTATATTTTCTTATTTATTTTTTTAGTAATATGGGGGGAACAAGCTCGAAAAGATTTGATCAACTTAATCAACCTACGTAACTCATGAACACCACCAAGAACCCGAAACAAAACAAAAAGAGATCAAACACACAAGACCAACATTAAACATATCAATCATGCTAGGGATACAGTAAAAAGTGAACCCTAAGTTTTACCCCAAGGAAATGCATCAGCATTTTAATGGTTTACATTGGCACAAAATATTAGTTCAATTAAAAAAAATTTACACTCACATATTTTGTCAATGTAAATCACCACACTAGCATCACATTAATACAAAATGTCAGTGTATGTCTTTGGGGTAGAAAATAAGGTACAAATTTTGGTGTACAAATACCTTGATCTTTAACATATAATAGACACATAGACAATATGTTACGTAACTTACACACATAAGAATTGAAATAATCAATCAAAGGCCAAGTCGACTCATGTCCTTAACCACGATATGGAGGATTGTCAACTCTCCACATGGCCCGAAGTCACGCAATTCAAATACCTGTTTTGAAATATACTTTTGAACTCCAACTCTCTATTCAAGCATGAAAACATACTACCACTATTGAAAAAGTTTATAAAAGAGGAAATGTATTATGCATTCAACTTTCATACACAATCTAATCACAAATCCACCAATAAATTATGCAATTTAATAAACATTAACTCCTAATGATGAACACATTTCACAGATTTCCATGAACTTCTCAAACCTATGACATTTTTTCTATTCACATAAAAGAACACAACACATATTTTTAATAAATCGAGATTTATTTTTTAGCTTAAACAACCTCAACTTTATGAAAATGACAAAACAAGCTAATTAACGAAGACATAACAATCGCACAATAACAAATTCTAAGGAAAATAGATCAACTTATGGGGCTAAAAAGTCCATGAACCTTAAAATCAACAAACACAAATCATAAGAAAGCATCACGTATGAATTCAAATCTACAGCTTTGGTTATGGGGGCAGCTGCCCCCAGTGAATTTTTTTTTAATATATATATATATATATATATATGTATGTATGTATGTATGTATATTTTTTATGTTTATATATAATTGCCCCCACTAAAATAAAAAATCTGCCCCAAGTTTGGCCCAAAACAATTAAATATGCTAAAGACCCAATCAAAGAATGAACTTGATCTTTATATTCACAATGTGCTAAAAGATGAAAGATTTGGTAACTTGAGTGGTTTAGTTGAGCTTGCTAAAGTGATGGTAAGTACAAGGAAAAATTTTACATTTCTTTTGGTCTATCGCTTATTGAAGCTTGCCTTGATTTTACCTGTCGCTACGGCAAGCGTTGAAAGATGTTTTTCAGCAATAAAACATGTGAAGTCGGAAAAGGAAGCGCTTTTAAGTGTTACAAATGAAGATATAATTGATCGCTTTCAAAAGATGAAAACTCGAAGAGAACAATTGTAAGAGGTATGTTCTATCTATTTAATTATACCTTGTTTTTTAATTTAATTTTAATGGTAAGAAGTATGTTCCATGTATTTAATTGTCTTTTGTTTTTAAATTTTATTTTTTTCACTTTAATTTACTGCCCCAGCGAAAAAAAATTCTGGATCCGCCACTGACCCCAAGGCTTTGCAGATGTGCAAAATGTAAGTAAATACCAACATGGATACTCTCACACTTATATTTTAGTCCCGTGTAAAGCCATAGGGTAGATAATGAGATAGAAATTTGGGGTATAGGTAACACAACTCTTTTTTTTTAGAGTTGTAATGTCAGGTCAAAGTAACAAATGTATAAAGGAAGGACTAACCTTGTTGCTGAAAAAAGCTCTCTTAGAAGAATTATCGAATTTGGAGTGGACCCAGGAATCACAGTTGATGCTAAGTGAGGCACCATCATGGAATAAACCATCTAGAACGATCTTCTTCACAAACATTTCCTGGTGGTGCTCATTCTCTATCAAAATTGCTCCCACCTCCCCGAAATCTTTAGGAATTACCAGATTGCACTCGTACTTCACTTCCTCATCCTTTCTTCCGGCCCCGCCCTGCCGATGTGCATACCCCTGGATGCTATTCTTCTCCCGCCCCGTTTCTTGTTATCAACAACAATAATATTAGCCAATAAGTTAGTTAGTCTTGGAAATTACACGAATGAGAGTATACTTCAAACGTTTACATAAATTTTATAGGTCTTTGAACCCCAAAGAAAAAGTCACATACTTTAATTTGTCTCTCTCATTTTTTTTAATGCAAATTTCTTCTTTAGTGCGTGCTTCAACATTTTTTTTTAAAATTAAACTATTTGTATCCCAAAAATTATACTCACTTTGTATTCCAAAGTTATGCACCAACATTTTATGCTAGCGCAATGCTAGTTTAATGGCTTGCAATGACACAAAATGTCAGTAGATTATCAATGTAACTTTAAAAATTTTAAAAACTAAAGACATAATCTGTTGGGTCGGCACAAACCCGATGACCCGGGGTCATAAACATACAATTCTCAACGCGAATCCGAATTGAACCGAGCCGAACTAACACGAGCCCGAAATGACCGAACCTGAATCTAACCTGACTGATTGATTTGCTCTCTAGTGGCAGCATGGGTAAATTGGACTTATTTTGTATTTCATCTCCCATATATTAGGTTCTTAATTGCCTTCAAAAAAAATATATTAGGTTCTTAATTAAAGTTCCCGATAAAAAAAGTTCTTACTTAAAGTTTGATAACTTATCTTCTGGTTTACTATTCACAAGGTCAAACTTTGTTAATTTTGATAACTTAATTTTGTTGCTTATTTGATAAAATAATATTGTTATGTCACCTCTAATTTTGTAGATCTTTTGATGTACTCCCTCCGTTCCATAAAATCATTCCCCTTTCGGTTTTCCAATTACTTAAAATACTTCCACTTTCTATTAAAAAAACCACTTTTACCCCTATTTTTTATACCCTACCTATCACATCATATTTTTTCACTAATAACTAAACTATCACATCTTATATTTTTACTCATCATATCAGGGGTAAAATTAGAAAGTCAACCAAAATCACACTTTTCTTATTTTGGTTCAAAGTCAAAATGGGAATGATTTAAAGGAACGGAAGGAGTAGTTTTTTAATATGTAATATTTATTTTTTAATTCCACACGATTTTCATATAAAATGATTTAAATATACTTCAACCAAATATCATAACGCGCAATGGAAAGATAATTTTTTGATGGAGAGAGTAATTTTTTTTGTTATGAAATTGAAAAATAAAATGAAGATAATAAAAATATTTTGATAAAAAATATAAGGGCCCACAAATTAGAAAAGAGGGAAAAACTAGAGTGACGATTATAATGTAGTGAGGAAAATAACAGAAAAAATAATGTGGCTTCAAAAAAAGAAATTTGGAGGGACGCCATCTCCATCTTCAATCTCTTCTTCTTCTCAATTTTTAAAATTCGAAATTACCCCCTCTCTTTTCAACATGAATCCTTCCGGCTCCGACTTCTTTCCTGACGGTCTTCTGCCGAGTGACGCCGCGATGTGGTTGTACCAACAGTGGGGCGATCGACCGCCAACCTACGAGACGCAACAATCGGGGTACGTCGACCGCGATTCGGTTCTGGAGACTCAATCGGGGTACGAGCAAAGAATGAGAAAGATCAAAGAGAAATATAATTTACCTTAGTTTTTTTATTAATGTATCTTTTTTTTAAAATTATTTTCGTTTTTTATTTATTTAATGTATTTTTTATTATTCGTGTTACATTTAATTAAATATTAAATTAATTACATTTTATTAATTTAATTTATTTTTTATTATTATTAGTGTTACAATTTAACTAAATAATAAATTAATTATATTTTATTAATTTAATTTTAGAAGATGTATATTTAAAAATGTAAAAAATGAAGGTTTGAAGCCCCAGTTTGAAGCCCCGGGGTTTCAAACTCATTTCCAGTAAATTTTGGGTGGAAATTAAAGCTGACGTGTCAGAGAGAAAAGATTTGAAGCGCTAGGGCTTCAAACCCATTACCAGTGCTCTCAGTAAAGTCAATCATTTTTAAAATTATTTTAATCATAAATTGATATAAAAATAAAAAATATAAATTATATCATTCAAAAATACATAAAATGTTGTTCAAACAGTATAAAAAATTCTACAAAATAAGTGGTGATAGAATATTTTATTTTATCAAATGATCCTTGAGAATTCATAAAAAAAACAAAAGTTCTTAAAATGTCTTAATATTGACAGTGACATCATTTTAGAATGGAGGAGTATTGTGTTACGTACTTAGCCACGGCTCCACCCTTTCCCTTACTCTATATTCGAGACTCTGTTACCGAATTATGGGTTTCAAGTTTTCATGTTCATGTTTCAAAGGTATGCTAGGAAAACTCCACTTTAATGCACATTTGGTCTATCCCAAATGAGGCTCCTCCAGCATTTTCTTGTTTCAAATTGTTGATCCAAAATCTATAAATTTTTAAAATATACGGAGTAATGCTTTTTATGATGACTAGTTTTCAATCTTACTCATGCATAATCAAATATATCCATATTTCAATTATGCATTTTTTGAAATAAATGAAATAACATGTAATTAAAATTATTACGTTAAAAGAAAAAATTGTCTTTTTGACGTAGATATTTGAATTATATATTTTTAAGAATGTTTTTTTCATATTACATCTATGAAAATTTTTGTTATTAAGATGAGTATGAAAATTTATGCTGTAATTGGTACACAATTTTAGTTTTTCATTGTTACGACTTACGAGTCACTTATGAATAGGTAATTTAGTTAGTGAAATTTACACTGAATGGGACTAAAACACAAGTCATTTCCCAATGTAGGACTTAAACTTTTTTATTCGTTAAATAGGACTTCATAATGACTAGTGAGTGTTAGACAATAATATTAATAGTATTTCTTGTAGTATTGGTTATGATAGTGTTTCATTATTAGTCAGCTTCCTAATCCTATCTGTGGTAGATGTTGTATGTTAGTTAGTTTCTATTCTCTATTCCTAGTTGTGTTAGGAGTCTCTCCTATATATACACTATCATGTACTCCATAATTCAATGAGCAATATTATTATTCTAATATTTCAACATGGTATCGGAGCCACCGCTCTTGGTGACCTAAAAAAAGATCTTTGCTCCCACGTCCCGCCGCCGCCGCCGGTATTTCCGGCGACGGCGGCTCCACCATATTCACATCTTTTTTTTCCCTTCTTTTATTCTCAAATTAACTTCTCCATTAAAAAAAAAGAAAAAAAATTCCTCTGTTGAAATCACAAAAAAATCCGTCAAAGGAGGAGCTTCTCTCTTGTCATCTCCATGGTTCTTCAAAAAAAACCCAACTCCTCACAAACTCTCTCAGATCATCCTATCTTCTCAAAAAAAGGAAAAAATAAATGATTGTTGTTTCTCTCCAATTCACCATATCAAAATCTCAGGCCCAATTTTTTTTTCCATCACCAATTCTTAACCTACTTTTTCTCTCTAAAATCACTAACTCTAATCATCAACCTCCCTTCTCTTTCTCTTCTCTTGAACCAATAAAAATCTTAAGTAAATCAGCACAAAAACCAAAGCCAAGAGTGGAAGCAGTGAAAGAGGAAATAAGACCTCTACAACTCACCCCTTTAAGAAGGAAATAGGGCATTGCCCGGATCCAAGAAAAAGACAAAAAAACGTCAAGGATCTTCAGTCAAACAGGCACCTCCAGTAGCCTTCTCTATTCTTCTTCGACGTCAGCAGCTACAAGCGCACATCAACCTTCTCTCATCTTCATCGACGTTAGCAGGTACTAGCGCACGTCAATTTCTCTCTTCTCCAACGAAGTTAGCAGCTACTAGTGCACGTCAGACTTCTCTCTTCTCCAACGACGTCAGCAGCCACCGGCACATGTCAGCCTTCTCTCTTCTCAAAGTTTCCAGTTTCCAGCTAGTGTCCAAGCTTCCTCTTGCTTCAGCCAGAGTTCAGCTTGAGGGGAATGTTAGACAATAATATTAATAGTACTTCTTGTATTATTGGTTATGGTAGTGTTTCATTATGATGGGTATATCCCTATACCCGACCCGGACAACCGAAAGGGACAGGTCAAAAATATGACCGGTCACTTTTATCAATCACCAAATGAGGTTAACTCTTCGATTGGGACGGGTCAAAAGTTGACCGGTCACTTCCACTAAAAAAGTGACCGGTCACATTTTGGGCGATAGCCAAAATGTCGCCTAATGTTACAAAGGACATTCTAGAAGACCAGAGACGGGTTGAGCACGAAGAATGACCGGGTAACTTTTGAGAGAAGGTGACCGGTCATATCACTTTACTTGGCTAACATTGGTTCAGTCTTTTAGGCATGATGAACCACGTCAGAGGTCAAGGGGACACCCCGCCGCTCATCCATCACGAGGCACACAGTGAAAGGGATATTTGTCATTTTGCAGGGTTGATTGGATTGAGAATATCCATTTTAGTCTTTGATTGAACAGTACATGTCTTGGCCTATAGTTGCTAAATTCTATGATTGTACAGTGCTTCCATTATCTACAGTGACCTTCCCACGAGCTTCCTATTTTGTCCATGGATAAACAGGGGAGGGTCACAAATCCTCCTCTATAAATATGATGATATTTGATAGAGGAGGGGATCCAATTTTTCTCTCACTAAAGTTCACTCTTGAGATAGAGTAAGAAATATAATTCGGACTGAGGAGATATACCCGGTCTAGGTCATACTTTGTGTTCTTGTTGTGTGTTTTATATTACGGGTCGAGTGTGTCCAGGTCAAACCCGGTTAACCCACCCCGCTCTATTTACACCATCATTTTTGGCGCCACCCGTGGGACCGATTTTTAAAGTTTTTCGACCAGGTCAAAACTTTACCCCCACTAAATATCCACAAACATGTCTTCGAGCAATTACAACGCTGTGTCAAGCCAGGCTGCGAGTGAAAGCACTCCTGCCATCCCATTGATGATGTCGAGCATGGGGACGACCTTTGCTCCGATCACTACTGTAGGATCAATTGGCATGATCCCAATCATGTCAACCCCAACTCCTACGCCGACGACAACAATGTTTCCAGGCTCGATAACAACGCCTGGTGGAGCATTCACACCATACCCATCAGCTTGGGCTCAGTTTGCTGCTGACCCGGCAAATGCTTAGGCTCTACAGGGCTATCAACAGGTGATGGCCATGATGCAACAGGCAGGTGGCTTCATGCCATTTGCCTATCCTGGTATGACGCCGCCAATTATGCCACCTCCGGTGTCGACCCCGTCGACATTTGTCCCTAGGATGGTCCCTATACATCCGGTGAATTTGACGGGGACTTTGAATGAAGCAGCGCCCTCAAATGTCCATGAAATCAATGAGGCGGAGCAGGAGGCGGCCCGCAGGAAGAAGGGTAAGGCTATAGCCGAACCCAGCAAGACTCGAGATTCGGCATTCAAACGCCTAGGGGGCAAAGAGGATGGACCCCGCAAGTCTGCCAAGCTACGTCTTGGTCCTGAGATGGGCCGGACTAGCGCAATGGAAAGACTTGGCGGGGGTCGTCACGCCCAATCTCGTCGTTCTAGGGAATCTGAGACGATTCACCAAGACGAGGAGGAAGCAGAAAGCCAGCCGAGGGCGTCGGCATA